AAAAAAAAAACATAAATAATAATTAAAAAATATATAAATAAAATCGATTTTTAAAAATAATATTCGATTATGGAGACTGTAACGAATATTCGAATAATCGAATAATCACTGGCATCCCTAGCCTATACTGACACATTTTATAACATTTCAGTGGGACTCACCTCCGACCGGGCTGATCTTGTTGGTGATGGCGTATCTCAGGATCCTCTCGTCTTTGACGTACATCACAAACACCCTCTCCATGGTGATCTGCAGCGTCTCCGGGACAGTGGCGCGGTTGTCGTGGCGACAGTCGCGGTAGGTGATGTTTTGCTTCAGCTGGAAGGAGAAGGACTCTGAGCCCTTTTCCGCCGAAACGACAGAAAACTCCCTCACAGAGGTAGAGGTGGCAACTGGAGAAAGAGAGAGTTAAAGGTTATAGGAAGACAAAGGCCTCACATGTTACACAGGACGTGTTTCTTGTGGTTGTTATGATTACCAGATGGGTAGTACTGGTAGGTCTCCTTGAAGGGATCCATGGTAACTTCAGATCCAGGGGGCAGGAAGGGCACGTCTCCACTGAGTACGGTATCCACGGTGAGGTGGTTGTGGTCATCAAGGCCGCGTCCCGTCTGGATGATTGACAGGCGCTGGTTGCCGGGATAGAAGATCACCTCAGCGCGACGAGTGAACTCAGCACCTGGTGATAAATCATTCAATTATTTTCTGATTCACTATTTTTAGATTATTCTCATTGAACAATACTGCAGACACTCCAGCAGTTCAGCAGTTGGATATCATAAACAGCGGAATGTCTGCAATGGCTACATCTATATAGAACACACACACAGACACGCACAGACACACACACACCGACACACACACATACACAGCTGCTTCCTATTAGAGAGGGGAGGTGGAAGCCTGATATCACATCACATCCCTGGAGAAAATACAGCTGGCTGGGAGACCAAAAACACACACACACACACACCACACACATTCATCGTAGAGGAGTTTCCTCAACCCTCTACAGAAGTGCGCAAGAGTCAAGATGTATACAAGGCAACATACTTAACTAAACACACACACACACACACACACACACACACACACACACACACACACACACACACACACACACACACACACACACACACACACACACACACACACACACACACGTTTACCTGTGATTTTGAACCCTGCTTGGCTTTTGGGCAGCTCCAGAGCAAACAGCCATCCAAACAGCTCTCCTATTGGTGCAAGCGGCATCAGAGCCCAGCCCACTGGCTCGGGTACCTGACCAATCAGCACAAAGATTACAAATTACAAATCAGAGAAACCAGGAAATGTATTTCAATGTGAATTAGAAGAGTGGAATTCATATATATTTAAATAAGTTACACGTTTGAATGTTTGAATTTTCCGACTCGTACCTCGCTGATGGCAGTGTACGCTCTGCCGTCTCCCACCACGATGTAGGCGTGAAGATCGATGTTGTTCATCTCCACTGGAGTCGAACCGACGGTCACTGTTCCGGTCACCTTACCACTAACACGCTGAGGGGCACCTGAAGAAGAAGGATTATAACAACAGAAAAATGTAAGATTTGAAATACAGTACTACATAAAAACATGGGTTCATGGTAGGGCTCTAACCGTCGGGTAGACAGTGGCGACCGTTTCCATAGAAGCCAGGGCGGCAGTGACAGCAGTAGCCTGTGGCGTAGTCTGAGCAGAATCCATTCTGGGAGCAATGCTGTTGGAATCTAGAACGAAAGCAAAACAACACACGTTTAATGCCTTAAAATGTAGAATCCCAATGGATAGAGCAGGGACACAGATACAAAAGCAATGACAGATTCTCTACCGTTGTCATATAAAACAATAGACAACCACAACAAACAGTTATAACACGTTTCTTATTCCAACAACATGAACATAATGCTATCAGGTCTTCACATACCTCGCACATGTTTCCTTATTCTCTGTAGTGTACTGAATCACTGAGAGAGAGAAAAAAAAGTCTTATTATTATTTTGCATTACATATACAATACAATAATTATAAAATAAACTCCCTGGTGTCTCCTATCCAAGATCATCACAAAGCGGCATTAGGACAAAACATAGAAAGGGGTGTACATGCAGACTATAAACATCATTTGAAATGTTCACATCAAAGATTTGAACTTGGTCTCTGTTGTATATTATTTTATGGCTTTTACCGTATCTTTGCTCAAGTGAACGTTCATATAGAAATAGGAAATAGAAAGATTTATGGTTGCAGTTATGTTGGTAAGCTATACTTTAGGAGTTAGCAGATACTATTTCTGTATGTAAAGTTGTTTCCACATAAGTACAGATGGACATAAAGAATAAGAAGGCGGACAAGATACAGGCAAAGGACACACACACACACACACACACACACACACACACACACACACACACACACACACACACACACACACACACACACACACACACACACACACACACACACACACACACACACACACACACACACACACACACACACACACTGCATAACAAAAAGCACCGTAATAGCCTGTCGAGCTTTCTGAGTGTGGTCAACAAAACATCTCAGTGTCTGTACGGATGAAGGCACACACACCTTTTTTAATCATTCCTGTTGAATTGACAGCAAAGCAGAGACCATAATCCCTCAAAAATGCATACTTATACCTGCCTTCACTGATACACAAACCCTCCATCCGACTAATTATTGCACACCAAAGTCAAAAGGCACTGCCAAACCAAAAGAGGCACATACACATTGAACGTTTTACATGATTAGTTCAGGGTAAATTCATGCATCAACATTGAAGATGTCAACGAGCAGCAAAACACATTGTTACTCAGACAAACATGGCAACATAAACACACTAACAAAACCAACTGATGCAGTCTTCCTTATGGCCAATAAGTCGCATATAAATCACCTTGTTTTGACCTTTAATTACATCGCTCCCGAGGGCCAATCATTGTCAAAAAGAAAATGCCAAAAGCAGCAACAAGATGCGTCCTATGTCCACATGTGGTTCAAATGTGATCTGAGATGTCTAATGAATAACTGACAGATGATTGACATTGGAAACTTCACAAAAACACAATATTATCATGGGGACTTTTATGGCCATTGATGTCAAGAATAAAGCATAACAGACAACATGTGTTCAAAAGCTATCAGGTGTCTGATTATATAAGCTCTGGGGAGACATTACCTTCCACAGTATTTGTTCATAAGCACATTTTTCTTCTGTTTCAATGCTTCTCCCCAGACTTTCGCTGTTCTTTCTCCTCACCTTGCTTTGTGGAATCAGTTTCTTCCTTGATCTGTATTTTCTGTTTATCTCCCTCTGTCTTTGTTTTGTTTCTGTGTTTCTCCCTCTCTTCCTATTACACTCCCTCTCTCTCCGTTTTTCTCTCTGTCTGCCTCTTTGGCATCATTTGGTTGGTTCTTATCTATTCTCACCACTATCTGGTGTTGGAGGAAGATAAGCATGCATTTGCATGTTTAATGAACCAAACACCCTCGGCTTGAGGACAGTCATGCACACACGGTTGCATAGACACACACACACAACACACACACACACACACACACACACACACACACACACACACACACACACACACACACACACACACACACACACACACACACACACAGGAGCTGCCCAGCACAACGGCAGTATTGTACTGCCAGCTGCTGAGCGGCTCTGCAGCTGAGGGCAAGGTAACGTTACCCTCAGGTTTCTCAAAGGGACCGTCCTTTCATCAGTTGAGCTGATTATTACATATACATATATATGTATACATCGCGGAGTTTGTCTCTTACCTCCTGTGTCAAAATCAATGTCGTCTTCATCCACGCTGACCACGTGACCTCCAGGGGAAAGATTGGGTTCATTTCTGTGAGGGGGGTAGACATCCACCACCTCCAGAGGAAGCTACACAGGGAATACACTGTGTTTAACTTCAAACACGTTTCTCCTGTTGTCTTCAGGGCCAAGCCAATATTTTGTAACTCTCTCCAGATGCTATGAACCAAAGAGCTATGATCTGTGCATACTTTACATGGCACATACAGTATGTAGGGATTAATGATCACAGCTTTGCCAGTTTTTACACTGCTATACTCTACAGAAAAAGCATTCCATTGTAACCACAGCATTTACAAAACGTGCCTGCAACTTCAATTTGGTATTACAAAACTCAGTACTGAGAGCACTGCCAGATACATTCCTGTTGTTTAAAAGTACACCACAATGAGTGATGTTTGCAGAGAGTTGTTGCAGATTGGCAAACAGTGCAGCTGTCTCTTGTCACATAACAAATTAATTTAGTCATTTTTGCAACGTTTGCAATTTAGGTGTAGCTTTACAATGCTAGTAATAACAGCATCGGGCCCATCTTCACATTTCAATTAACCTAAATGCTTTTTTATGTTAGTTCATTTAATGCGTTACCTGTGGTTGCTGTTCCTGAGTCCGCTCAGCACGTCCCTCTGGTACTCTTTCTGAAGGATTAGGGTTGGAATACCGCCTCTCTGCTGGCTCTGGATTGTACCTGGGTTCAGAGGTCAACGGGACATCTCGATGACCAGAATCCTCTGCAGGCGAGGAGGGAGCATCAGGGCTTGCTGGCTGAACGGGCGCTGAGTGGTCCCCACCGGCAGTGGCTGGCTGGAAGTCAGGGTCCCCGCCTGTATGAGGGTAATCATCTTCCTCCTCCTGGTTATCACCGTCAAAATTATTGTCTTCATATTCCTCAAACTCACTGTACTCGGGGGTGGTGGTGTCCTAAAGCAGAAACCATGTATGGGTTAGGGGTTTCACAACACAAAACACCTCTTGAGTGTACATACAATGAAATAAAGACGAAAACTAAATTACCAGGGAGAGGCCGTGTCCTCCGGTCGGTGGAGTGTTCAGCTGGCCACCAATGGATGCAGGGACAATGTTGTCAAAAGAGTACCGGTTCCCAGTATGGAACAGCCAGACACCTGGAATTCCTGTGTTACCAACCCTGAAGAGCAGGTCTGGTGTCAGAGCATTTCTAACCTGACAGGTTTATTGTTACTTTAATTATCAGTTTGATTAATTACACCTGTGCTTCCACCCCTTTATTTTAGCTTGCAAACACATCTAACAGTAACTGCTACATTACAAAACGGCTGCTTAGTTACCTTGCTTGCTAGTTATGATTGAAAGCTTGCTGCTGTTGCTTTCTTCTTTTTAAAATGTAAAGTTTGCTTTCTTCTTTGTCTACAATTTGGAAGAGCTAAATATAGCTTTCTGTGTCACAAAATGTGCTTCCTTTTCGAAAGAAATAGCCAACAACTTTATAAATTGGTCGATACCTTTCACAAAGAGGTCTTTTTCAGATATTTTACATTTTACGTATAACAATATTTAAATGATATTTATTGTTTCCTTCTAGCTATTTTGCAAGCCACTACTTTCAAAGAGCTAATTCTCTGATTAATTACATTTTTGTCAGTTGTAAAAATAAGCAACCTTGAGGTTTTTGTACTTACTGGTAGAGGTTTTTCACACTCTGCTCATCACTTGTAGCGCTGTAGTACGGTCCTTCAGTTCTGGAGAAGATCAGATATGTGACTTCTCCTCTGCTGAAGCCAACTCTAGCTGGAAGCTCTATTTCAACATTATAAGACTCCTAGACGAAAAATGCAAAATGAGGAAATCAAACAGTTAGCTGTAACATAAACAATACACTTAGTGAGTGCATGCCTAGACGTTTTGCAGTAGCAAAGTATCCGAGCGAACCGAGATTATGAATTACCTTGGGGCGTGTCGCAAAGAAGTTCAGGCCACCTTCAGGATACAAGAACAGGACATATGAATCGGTCTCATCATAACCAATAACTGCCTGGAAGGTATTAACCTAAAAAAACGAGAGAGAAGAAACACAAACAGATAAGAACAGAGACAAACCTGACCCAACAGCTAAAACATAGCCTAGTTGTGTTCTATAGTCTCTTTCACACACGACTGTAAACCTGAATTCATCTAGACATTAACCGGAGGACCTGTATGTGACAGCACGAAGGTCTGAATCATTGAGACCGGACTTTAAACAGACTCCACCCGATCAGCTCTCCAGTAGTAAGTCTGTGTAATGTCTGGTGGAGCCCATGTGTGAATAGAACTGCTTATTGTACAGAGAATTCAGGGCGAGTGATTTGGAGTGTTGATGATATTTCCCTGCAGCTGGCACAAAGACAAATATCTGAGGGTAAAGAAGAGGGATCATTTAAACAAATGAGTCAAAGAAAGGTCAAAATCAAGAAAATTGCATCGTCATCGGGAACAACCCACGCTAAAAAAGACCTTGCTGTTGACTAAGCAGCTACATGATTGCAACAACGCGCTAGCCTTAACCCCGAAACCTTTGTCAGGCAACAATATAATGAAATCTCCAGAGACCTTCCCTTAAGCTTTTCAATGCGTTTTATACACACATCACACCTCAAGGCTCAAATACCTATTTTCTTCAACACATGACTTTTTTTTCTGCCCCTGATGGCAGTACCTTTAGCATGTCCCTGGTAATTAAGGTAGTGTTCATTTTCAGCTCTGCTAGAGGGATAAGCGTCTTTGTGTACAGCCTAGCTTAACCACCCTCAATTAACACTTCACACCTCGCTTCCCCTCTCCTCCTCCCTATGTCTCCTCCTCTTCCTCTGCTGGGATTCATGTTGAGACTTCTCACCCTTCACGCTCCCCTTCTACCGACCACCACCAATTATTAACAGACTGAGCATCTGGGTTTTAAAACATCTCTTTTGCACAAATTAGGGTGATTTAAATGAACTGAGTCAGCGCACCTTTTCTACCAGAACTTGTGGAACTTCTTTTGGACGTTTGTGTGTTGGCGTCCAGCCCACTCGGTCTTCCAAAACCACAGTTAAAAAAACACAGATTTGGTGAATGAGGGGAAGACTGAGTGATCCCATGTTGTTTTCCTTAGGGACACAATCAGATTATCTGTGCACACACACACACACACACACACACACACACACACACACACACACACACACACACACACACACACACACACACACACACACACACACACACACACACACACACACACACACACACACACACACACACACACACACACACACACACACACACCTCGGTCTCTAAACCCCCAGCCCAGATGTTGATCTCCACAGCTGTCTTCCTGTGTGTCTGGGCATCTTTCACGATGATGTTAGTACAGGCAAACTAGACCTCGTTACAATGTGAGACGTGGGGTGGGTGGGTACACACACACACACACACACACACACACACACACACACACACACACACACACACACACACACACACACACACATTTATACAAATACGCACACAAGCACAGATGTCCCTCCATCTATATTCCACTCATGGGAATGTATGTGTGTGTTCCTAATTGTTTACATCAACATCTTTAAACTATCTTGTTTGTGGGCGGGGAGGACTTTGTAGCCTCCGGGCTTTGTAATTACTGAGGAGGGGGTCTTTTTTTTTTCTTTCTGTCTCTCTTTGGGAGGAGAAGAGGCTGGAGCTCAAGAGGGGATCTGCTTTTTTCTTTGTCCCTGACATCCTTTCTAAACGTCTGTATTTTTCTCTCCTGCTATCCCTTCTTTTTCCTGGGAGGAGAAGGCGAGGGGAGAGATGAAAGCATGCGGGGGGTTGGGGTCTGGTTTCCAGAGGGTGTACGGGGAGACAGAAAAGAGGATGTATTTCCATCCAAACAGTTATAAAAAGTTAAAACAACAAGAGGAAATAGTGTGTGTTTCCATCAAAATCTAACACTTCTGTTTCCTACTATATGATAAAAGTCTCATTAGTCCACGATAGACCAGCACATTAGTTACGTTTGGGTTTTTTCCAGAGTTAAAAAGGAAAAAGCGGTTGGTGAAGCACACCCAAGAGTCTTTGTTTTACCCACAACAATCCTTTTCCACTTCAGTGAACATGATTTGCAATATTTTGCTTCTCTCGGGTTACTTTTCATATTGTTCATGAAACAGCCAGATTGATACTCATTCAAAGAGACACGCAGATAGAGAAAAACACATTCAGAAAACGTTAAGAAGGTTTTTTAAATGATGTTTATGCCAAATTTAGTGGCTGCATTTGAGAATGGCCCTGTTCCATTTTAGTGTTTACATGACAAAGACGTTTTCTAGACCACCTCAGACTGTTGCCTTCAAGTTCGTACGAATGAAATGTTGGACTTTAAGGGAGATGTGCTTATTTTAGTACAAGAGGAGAATCTCATATTTGCACACTCATTACGAAGCTTGCTCTATCTTAATATTAAGCATACAAACTTGAATCCACTCATCTATGTCTTGGAAAGAAACCTAATAATCGAATTTCTCAATATGACAAACTATAACGCTAACTCCGGCTCTCTCTTTCTGTGTGGTCATCTGCTGTGTGAGTCTCTCCTGGTGTGCTTTACAGACTCACAGCTGGAAGACAACAAATAGCAGCCAACATACATCAAAGACCTTCAGACAGTGTGTAGCTCAGAATGTGTGTGTGTGTGCACTGGCAACCCCCCCCCCCACACACGCACACAGTCACACACACACAACTTTCGACCTCCCTAAAGGCATTTTGTTGCACCTTTTTTTAAGAGTGTCCTCACACTCCTAACGCCGAGCAGACACATGCACAGGCGTTAATGGTCTCCGGGACCGACAAATGTTTGTTGTCGGGGTCCTTCAAGGTTTCGGTGGTAACATCATCAGACTGCTAGGATTAACTGGTGGGGGGGCGCTTAAAGGGACAGTTCATCCAAAATAAATATTTACTCTTTCAGTCAATATTAGATTACATTTCAGTATGGCACCGAATTTTTATCAAAAATGTCCCAATAAAGTAAGAAATTAAAAACAATCTTTTCTTTTAGCAAACTCAAATAGAAGCCTTAATGCCTCCGAGCATGTTTTCCATTCTTTGTGTTCAGACTTTTAATTTAAAAGGCTTTTATATTGGGTATACCATCATTGCTCCAACAATAAGGACAAGTATTGCTACAAATATGAACTTTTAACCATTAAAAGGGGTCATTTTAGTTCAATCGAAGTTGGAAAGTATATAACATCAAATATATAACACTATTGCATATATAACATAATATGACTTCATTCTACTTTTTGTAAACCCTACAGCAGCTGCAGGCGTGTATCATTTCTCTTTCAGTTTACTTTAGTACGGTCGTGTTTAGTATCTGTATATTTATTGGTCTGGTTTACTCTGCCTTGATATAGTTTAGTCTACTCTGCGGTTTAATTGACTTCCCATCGTGCCTGTGTTTCGAATCAGTGATTCATCGCTGTAACAAATGTTCTAAATGACATTATAATTATCTCGAGCTGGATCCCACTTTGGTGAGGCAGGAACATCCCGAGGAAAGACGGGGGTCGAGGGAGGTCGGGGCGAATGTGCAACACTTGTTTGTTGGTTGCCGATTTTTCAGCTAGTTGGCCGCAAAACAGCTGCACGGGGAGAAAGAAACAGAGAGCAGCTGCAGGCCAGTTGCCAACCTCACCAGAGTGCTACAAACGGAACTGCCTACAGCGTGGGAACTGGTACAAAACACACACACACACACACACACACACACACACACACACACACACACACACACACACACACACACACACACACACACACACACACACACACACACACACACACACACACACACACACACACACACACACACACACACACACACACACACACACACACACACGGCTGAGGCTTGTGGCCAGGAACAGTCCGGTCAGTCTTTCACTGTTGTCGTTTGCTCCGGTCTTTTGGGGTGGCTTTCCTGTTATAACTTCAGCGTTGCGCTCAAAACGATTCCCTGCTCGTCTTAAGATTGAGGAAATTGTACAACTTCAGGGCTTATGAGCGCTCTGCAAAACCTTTTTTGATCAACTCCAGAACACATGGTGGGTAAAACCAGAGCTGCTTTTCTTAGATCCTAAAATTTTCGCGAACATGAACGTCTTTCCCGCAGCTACAAACCAGAGCTCTATGGCTTAGTAATTAGGAAGCCGTAGAGATCCCAAGTCTTAAAAGTCAAGCTCTGACTCGTTTTAGTGGCTATTATGGAGCTATAAACCCTTTTCTTTTGCACATGTTGTAAAAAGACCAGAATCTGGCTGATAAACAGAATCAATCCCAAAGCAAAAGCTCAGAATAACACATTATGAGAGCTGAATTTCAGTAAGAGTCCGCTCTGAACCCGGATGAGCATATTTCCAGGGATGCCCCCTGTGTCACTGCAAGGGGGCCCCCAGAAACAACAAATAACACTAATCGAAACAAAAGTTCCTTTTGTGCTACAGACAAGAAAACAGACGGAGAAGAAGAAAGACAGAGAGGAGAGGAGAGGCCATACGAGAGGCAGAGAGGGCTGAATCTAACAGAGGAGTCCATTTATTCATTCATCCACTCTCCACTGACCCTCCCACAGCCAATGCGTAACATGCTGCAAAGCCTACAACACTTTCCTTATTTGCACAAATAACTTTGTAGGGAATTCTAGGGGAAGCTAGATACAAATCTTTTTTTTTTTTAAATGGTCTACTGTGGTCAAATTTAAAATCACATTCCACTTGAAATTGCTGCTCATATACAAGAATGTCTCACAGGAAAGGGCACCTGAGGTTAGATGTGCAATAATGTGTATATTGTAGCATTCCTTTTACCACCACTCAGTACTATTTCCTTTCTAATGTTGCAACTATTGCATTAGATGTAGCTATTTTGGACCCGAAGAGGGGTATTTAATAGACATTTTTCTTTTAAATAACATAGATAAACATAACCTAAAAACGTCCTTCTTACCATATTCAAAGTTATCCGATGTAAAATAAATATATTAAGATTTGGCATACAGACATGCTAGCAGCTCTGTAGGGAATACATAGACAAGCGTTACTTTAAGCTATATGCTAACGTAGCATCAACATACTAACATGTTCAAAATGATATTGACAGGCTTATGATTACAACTTTTCATCATGATATCACGAATATGCTGAAGTGGTTTCCGTTTTGCAGGTTTTTGAACATAAACCAAAGCAAGTTAGCGTTAGCATCAACATGGACATTCTCTTTGTCTTTCTGTGGATGGAGAGGTTATTTTCTGTTGCTGAGAATAATGACGTTAACGGTGGGGGAAGTTGCTGCTGTGTAACAGCATCCACTAACATGACAGGTGTGCTCGTGTGAAGGAGGATTAGCAATATGCTGCTCAAAGTAAAGCCTTGTCGACACTTCCAAAAGCATCGACACACAGAAGGCCAGATTCTCTGAGTAAATACCTCTGGTCATTAGCAAATTGGGCTACATGGTAGGAGATACAACAGAGTGTGTGTTATAGGTTTCAAATGAAGCAATTACTTTCCAATTATGATAATAGCCTCTTTAGGACTAATTTCATAGAAAACACAACTCTTTTTTGGGGATGTGAACTTTTCTCTCCTCTATTTCCCTGTTTTCTCTTCCCTCCTGCACCTCCACATCCGACCCCCAAACACCACACAGCCTGCCCCCTCCCCCAGCCCCTCATACACACACCTCAGGTTAATCAGTTCACACACACATACCACTCTACCCCCAATGCACCCCACCCAGCACCTCTGGCTAATCGCTTCAAAGGAAGATGCTATCAGTCCGAAGAAAGAGCCACTGAAGCAAATCCCAGACTGCTGCGATCTGAAAAGCACCATGGACCCTTTCGAACAACAACACCACTCTTTCTTAGCACATGGATATACATTGTGCACTATAGGTGGACGCCAGTCTTTAATTAGGAACACTGGATAGACTTAATTCCAATATTTGAGGTTCAAAGTCGATCAAAAAGAGCCTTTGAGAAGCGTCTTAAGAAGCTTAATGCTGTTTGAATGTTTAGCTTTTAATCAATCAGGAAGAAAGGGGGAGGCATAAAAGAAACCAGACCAAGAGAGTAAAGAAAAAGGACAAACAGATGAGGCAGGGAGAGACCCAGAGGTCTCCTGGGGGGTATTTCCTTAAGTCTACCACTCCCTTCATCCCTCCCTCCCACTTGCTGCAAACCAGGAACAACAAAGCACTGTTTGTTTAATCGATAAGTTCAGTGCTTTACTTGGAGACTCTCCTAAAGACTAAGGCAAACAAAGTCTTCAGTGCTGCTTTAGGTGACACTTCTTTTCTGAGAACAATACATGTGGTATTCATTTGAAAGAACATGGATTAACTGTTAATTGATACACTTCAAATGAATACAGTTGCACAATGTCCTCTGTAGCTTTGGAGGGAGCTTTCCATGGGTGACTCTAAAAATGTCATTGTGATGTCGTCAAGGTAACAGTGTTTGGTCAAGACTGCATTACACACGGTAAGTGTACGTTTGAAAGATGTGTGTTGAGATGACATTTTTACACAGACCAACCCTGGAAGGTAGCAAAATAGCGTACATTTTAAGTGTACATTCAATCATTATTAGTTATGCTATAAACAAACTGCATCACGGTGGCTTGGCTAAGCTAAAGGCGGCTAATGTTCATCGGGATGACGATTATTAGTCTCATTGAGCCACCTCCCCCCCCCCTTTTTGTAAGCTAAACATGTTAAAAATGCGACAGAGGTCTACAAGCAACCATTTACTTGTGCTTCGAGTGCAAGAAAATTCCTATTTTCCCTATATTTAGTGACAAATCACACGCCTTTTTCCAGGAGAATTCCTAGAAAATTACGGATGTGTAAATTAAAGTGTTACCCGCCTCCTGTAAGGCGTGCCTCCCCAGGGGCCCGCGGGAGAGTTTAAAGAGGGGTGCCGAGTGAGAATAGCTGCCTGAAGGGAAAGGGACAGGTGCTTATCACTGTATAGAAAGCACTGTTTTAGTCACCTCATTAAAAATGGTACTCAAACACGAATATAACTAATCTTATTATTGATTTTTTACTTTCTGTTTATTGTGTCTTGCATTAGCTTGTTTTTTAGTCGGAATAAGATTTTCCTGTCATACTGCAGTAAAACATCCACAGCAAAAAGAAAAGTCGAATTGTGTGGTAGAATGTAAAACGTTGAATTGAACTCTAAGTGTAATTTGTGTAGCTGAAGAGGAGCACTTTAATGGTCAACCAGGTTATTAACTGTTGAGTGGCTGACAAACAGGGAGGGAATTGAAGTCCAACAGAGCATGAAAGCATTAATGGTCCAGGCATGTTTGTGTCTACCTGTGTGTGAGGGGATAACGAGTCAGGGAGGGGGCACTTTGATGACCCTTTAAGATGACCTCTGACCTTTTGAAAAGGTTAAGAGGCAGATTAGGAGGGGAAGGGGAATTACAAATAGACCCCCCACCCCAGGCTGATTAAAAGTGATGCACATCCTCTAGGAATTTGGGATTGTGTCTCTCACAATGACCAAAACATACTTGTGGGATTACACGATGAACTCATCCAGTCATAAATCATGACACAGAGAGACAGGGGGGGGGGCCTGGAGCTAAAACTCTCAACCCCCCTATCCATCTTACCTTGTTTGAAGGTCCATTGGTTCGGGTTGGCTCCTCGTACGCAGCCACGTTCTCCCATGTTGCAACCACAGCATGTGTGGGCGTGAATTTGGCATCTGGGAACCCTCGATGTACTTCCTGGGTGAGCAGATGAATGAATGAATGATGGAAATGAAGTAAAAAAAAAGAAACAAGATGGAGTGTACAATGGGTTGAACTAATGGATGAACTGAAAAAAGGAAAGAATTCAGATCCGTTGTTAATTATTTTTCAGAACGTATTCATCTCAACATGTCATTTTCTGAGTTCTTTTTCAATCATGTATAAAGTTATTGGCTGGCCATTTTGAATTATGAAATACAAATTTCCGATGGAATAACCCCCACGTCAAATATGACACTAGATTGCAAACGGATAGTCGATAGCTCAAATGAATGTGTGGTGGGTCAAGGGAGTAACATTAACGCCATGAAGACAATGGATATTCAATAGACATACAGACCTGGGCCACTCTGTTGAGTACACTGGGAGTTTCGGTCACGCGGTAGTAGATCTGACCTCGCCCTCCGCTGGTGTCGATGTCAGCCAGAAATGGAGCCACCACGGGGAAATCCGTTGGGAAGCCGTCGTCTACGTACTGCTTCTCCATCGGCAGGTCCTGGCCTGATATGATACCATTGGTAGCCACCTATAGACAGAGAGAGACAATTATTAATAATCACCACAAGCAGTTTAATACTAGGGCCGGGTCTAGAAGGTGTTGATTGAAACAGCCCATTAAAAATAAGAAGTGAACGGACATACACATAATCTTCTTGTAAATATGTAAAACACCATCATGAACCCAAAGAACCTCCCAATGAACCCGTACCCCCTCATAAACCACTGGAACCTCCGTGGGCACTGCTGGAGGCCCCTCAGGGACCCCGAGAACCACATAATGAACCCCTAGACTTCAAGGATGTAGAAACATTCAAACCACATTCAACTCAACTTCCTCTTGGTGTATTTCTCCGTGTAATGAGGAATGACTAATGCAGCAGTGATGTGTATAGCAAGTGTCATTAAAAGCGACACTCAGCGGTTTGTACTAAGCCTATAGTATTACAACATAGTGTATTCGTTGATTTTTTTGTTTGTATAAGTAGTTTGAATCTGTAGAGTATCTATAGTTGCCAAATAAATGCAGAGAAGTTAAATGTTTTATATCCATCCCTCTGAAATGGAAAAATATCTTGAATTAGTACTCAAGAACAATACTTGAGTATAGTTACTTTCCACCACTGGGCTAACAGCAATTAGCTGGAATTTGATACAGACCCTTTATTCCTAATGACATTGTGTATCAATTATTCTAACATGAGATTATATTATTTTCAAATTAAATCCAATATAGACGTTTATAATCTAACATACTGCAGTGGGAATCATTTAAACGCACAATTTGTCAATGTCACCAGTTGACTATCAACATCTGTTATGTATCAATCTATCAATCACAGACATGAGATTCATTTATTTTCGAAATGAAACCTTCTCAAGTGTATATTGATACATAGTGCAGTGGGAATCCTTTACAAGCTCGATTTATTCTTATCACCAGTTGACCAGATCAACATCTGTTAAGTATCAGTCAATTTTGACAGTTGAGGAATCAACATGCTCGAAAAATGTATATTATTCTAACATACTGCATAGGGGATTAATTTATGATCGATTGACAGACTTTACACCAGAAGAAAAACTAGAGTTTTCCCATGTACACATGCTAATAAACCGCTCCATAAAAATATCCAACAGCTGCAAACTTCTCCTGCAAAAAGTGTTCACGCTTTGATTGCATAACTTTCTGAGAGTACCAAGCATGCAGATGAGTGCTGATGAAGTGAACTTACATATAGCTGTGAGAACAAGGAGTCGTAGAAGTACACGGGTCTGGGCAGGGACAGCACTCTGGAGGTTTCATCGTCACCCTCTGCCAGGATCTGGTCTCCGCTCAGAGAGCCGTACGGGAACATGTCAGTCCTCTGGATGGCCGTCACCACACACACCGTGCCGCTCCAGCACAGCACACACACCGCCAGCATTGCCCCTCTCTCCATTGTAGAGCCGGGCTGACACTCTGAGAGGTTCCGATGAACTGAGAGCGGCCAGCAGAAAGAGGGAGATCTCTCCTCCTCTCCGGAGAGCCTCGGCAGGGAGGGAGGAGCTTAGGCGCGCTCTGATTGGTCGGGCTCGGGTTGAGTGACAGCATGCACGCAACATCTGGCTCGTATTAGAGAAAAATACAAATAGAGCGTTTTTAATCCGGATGTAACTCTATCTTTTTCACAACAATGAAAAAGAGACATTGTTTAATTTTTACGCACACGTGGGAATTTCCTTGAAAGACGTTTATCAAAATAAAAGTGAAAACGACTGTGCACTTTATATTTTCCTTAACACAGATACATATCAAGAATAATATTTGAACCACCAAAGATTAGGCTTTTTCTTTTAGCACTTAACATTTAAAACTCACTTTTTTAATGAAATCGATTTTTCTCTCATTAAAGGCAATGGCTGCAAGTTTCTAATACTTGAACTTGGGCGTCATCTACTGGCCGAAACAGCATATAGCAGCATGCAACACGTACAGGGTTAAAACTAAAGCTTAACATTGATTATTTAAATACATTTTTTAATAATATTAAACTAGTATTCCAGTCATATTTAAAGCTACAAAATAATAATGTTCTGCTTGCAGCGTATTCAAGGTGAGGATTTGCTGATTTTCTCTCTGTTTTGTATCAATGTAAAATGAACTTCTTTTGGTTTCGGTCTGTTTGTAAGAGAAAACAATAACGTACAATCCTTTTTCTTTGTAATTATAAACATATGTTCAAAGGAATTAAAAAATATGGGAGCATACAACACTCTATCCATTCATTTGGATAAAGAAAAGCGTCCAAAATATAATTAAACAGGTTAAAAAAAAAGAACTATCCAAAACCCCAGGAAGAGCATCAGAGGAGGGATCGTTTTATCAGGGTGGACAGACCATTGGTAAAATTAGAGGAGGACATTGAGCAACTTCCAGGTGCTGTAGAAACAGGAAGATCCTGAGCCACACAACCTCCTCTCCACCACAAAGACCTGTTGAGATAGATATACAAACACAGGAGACAATTCTAAAGTACACATTCAAACAGAGCAAGCAGAGATAAGAGGAGAGCCTTGTGAAAGACAGGACGCCTGGACTGGGTAGGTACATCCAGGGAAGAAGGGTCAAAGGAGAGAAAAGCCTCCTACAGGGGACAAGGGGGGAGAAAACAAACACAAATTCAGGGAACTTGAAACTGTTGAGCATGCTGCAGAGCAGACTGAGGGCAGATGGATATAGCCCAGGCCAGGCCGAGCATTAAATCATGTCTGCCAGGAATCTCTTTTTTTAATATAACATGCTGTTAAAACTATACGCACAACTCCTATTTCATTAAAATACAATTACCGAAAGAAAATACACATTATTTGCTAAGTTAGACCAACATTTTGAAAGGTATTGAAACTTTCCCAGGACCTAACTCTCAGGTTAGCCACACTTCAAGATACCTTCTAATGTTCATGAATCAATACAGCTGATGCTTGCACTTACCCAGAGCAACCTGTAGGTGGCGCCAAAGGTCAGCTTGAGATCAAATATATCTTACTATATTAATTTAGCCTGTGAAAACCAAAATGTATTGTTTTGAACATGTGAAACGTGTTAACAGTAAGTCCACCATTTTTACCATTCAGTAGAATACACAGACTGATCTGCTCATGTTTACATTTGGATAGTAGTATGAATACACAATTTATCAAATTTCACTCACACAGTTTGAGAAGTGTAGGAATGGTGGTGATGTTTATTCTCTGGGTTTCAGTGTGTAATTACAGGATCAAACAATGAACTCATCAATAATTCAGACAAGGGCCATCAGCAGGACAGACACAATGCCATGTATCATGTTGACATAAAGGAGTGATGCAAGGAATAAAGCCTTGCTGTGGGACCCTGTATGTTTGTGTGTGTGTGTGTGTGTGTGTGTGTGTGTGTGTATGTGTGTTGGGGGGGGGAATACAGCACTGTTCAGCCCTTTAGATGATGCCAAACTCCAAACAAAGGCTGTTTACCAGCAGAGGATTTGAGGATTAAGACCGTAATAAATAATTGAATTGCTTCTAAATAAAGAACATACACTCAGATAGGATCACTTAAGATTCCCAGGAGAGTATTTCCATAATCAGCTGGATCCATATTGACTCAAGGGTGGTTCAGGAAGTCTCACAAATCTGGAGTGTTAGCAGAATTCTAAGGGTGTGGATTTAGTATTCACGAGTCAACTGGTTTTCTGATTCTGTTTAAAGTTATCTTCGAGAACAGTTTTGATTAAAAGCCAATTTTCTGACGAATAAGGTTACAATAGTGATTTAATCTATAATAAATTCACGACGAAAATCATGGAAACAATTGGTTCACTGTAGAGACTTGCTGCCTGGCATTGCTTTGATAGGAAAGGAAAAGAGTATAAACGTAAAGATATTAAAGAAATACATCTACGAGAAAAAAAGGGAGGCAAGTTAAATTGATAGTGAGGTAAGAAAGGAAGACACGAGGAAAAATGAAAATGGAAGGGATGTCGAATAGGAAAGAAAATATATTAAATGAAAGAAAGAAAAGGGAAAGAAAGGACAAGAAAAAAATGGTAAAATTAAAGTAGAGAAAAACGAAAAGGGAAGGAAAAGGGAGCAAAGGAAAGGAAGGGGAGAAAGGAAGGAAAAGGGAAGTTAACTAATTGGATTTTTTTTTAAAGGAAAGAGGAAAGGAAACAAGGGTAAAGTAAGGCAAGTAAGTCAGCGAGGGCAGAGGACAAGGTAAAAGAGGCCTCTACAAAAATAGAGCAATGGTAACAAGAGGCAGAGAGACGGGTGAAGGGAGAGATTGACATAGAAGACCAAAGAAAGAGAAGCAACAGGAAGATAAAAATGTAGGGAGGCAGGAAGGAAGAAAAAGCGAGTAGGATTCCTGTGGGACGAGAACTGTCGAAACTAGAAATAAACTTGTCAGGCAGTAAAATGTACTGTATATGAATTACTGCGTGTTTGTGTCATGCAATGGATACCTCAACAACCGAAGCACTGCAAGACAGAAAGACGTGAGGAAGCAATGATGGCAGTATGTCACAGCTAAGAGTGCGCTAATGGGTCTGAAACAGCACTCAGGAGCTTTCAGCATGCATCATGGCCCTTTTTATGGCCTTTTTGGCTTTTTCTATTGAAAGAATGAAATAAGGCAATTATAACATCATTTAATCGCATTTAGTTGCAGTATGCCTTTACGGGCGATGTTATCCCCCAAGATGAAGCCCGGCACAAGCCTGCAAAGAAGAGAAAAACACAACATTGTTATACTGGTTAAACACGGAGACAGTTCAGTGTGTCAATGGTGCATGAAGTACACAAAACAAACACTTTGATCCCAATGGGAAATTAAAGCCTCATATCTACTGTATGTGCATGTGGGAGGACACCCAGGAACATAGGCAATCTCCACACATGAAGACACACAGGAAAACAAACATCTTTCATGCCGGGTCCTTTGAATTCTATAGTCATAGGGGAGGGAAAACAGGACTTATGTCAACATACAGTTTGTCCACCCTTACATACAAGACATTTCTTGACATTCCCAACATATCATATTGTTGTTATTATTTTAATATTAAGTTATTACATTACATTACATTGCATTTAGCTGACGCTTTTATCCAAAGCGACTTACAATAAGTGCGTTCGACCAGGAAGGTACAAACTTGAAGAAAACAGAATCATATAAGTACATCAGGTTTCATAGAGCTAAAACATTTCAAGTGCTACTCAACTGGCTTTAGATAAGCCAGTCCTTTATTAGTATATAAGTGCTTTGTTAATAATTCTATCGCTCGAGGTGGAGTCCAAAGAGATGAGTTTTCAGTCTGCGCCGGAAGATGTGTAAGCTTTCTGCTGTCCTGATGTCAATGGGGAGCTCATTCCACCATTTTGGAGCCAGGATAGCAAACCCACGTGTTTTTGCTGATGGGAACTTGGGTCCCCCTCGCAGTGCGGGTGCAGCGAGTCGTTTGGCTGATGCAGAGCGGAGTGCACGTGCTGGGGTGTACAGTTTAACCATGTCCTGGATGTAGGAAGGGCCAGATCCATTCACAGCATGGTACGCAAGAACCATTGTCTTGAAATGGATTCTAGCAGTTACCGGAAGCCAGGGCAGGGAGCGGAGGAGCGGCGAGGTGTGGGAGAATTTAGGAAGTTTGAAGACCAGACGAGCCGCTGCATTCTGGATGAGCTGTAGAGGTCGGATGGCACATGCAGGTAGACCAGCCAGGAGGGAGTCGCAGTAGTCTAGGCGTGACATAACGAAAGCCTGGACCAGAACCTGCGTTGCTTTCTGGGTCAGCTGGGGATGTATCCTCCTGATGTTGTAAAGAGTGTATCTGCAGCAGCGGGTTGTAGCAGCTATATTTGCAGTGAAGGACAGTTTGTTATCTAGGGTCACACCTAGATTCCTTGCAGTTAACAGCCCAGGACATCTGCACAGAGCCATGCACATTTGGGAGACAGATTCCCTGTTAACAATTTAATATAGATTTTGTTATTATCCAAAACAAACAAAGTTATAAATATGTAAATGACTATTGTACAGTATAGTTCCTACAACTGTAGTTTTTCTATAGTTTTGAGGTTGCTGCCAATGTGGAGTTTTCTTGTGTCTATCAGGATTACGGGGCAAAATAATAACATTGTGTTCTGCAATGAGGCGATTAATGATTAATTCCTTTTAAAACAGGAAATGAACTGCCAACAGTGTGGAGGGTTAATAGTAATAAGTAATTGATAAGCAAAAAAAGGCAATACAAATATAGTTTTCCAGTAAGCAGACATGCTGATTATTGTTTCCTATCATCTTGAATATAATATTCAGGATTTGCAACTGTTGATCTGATGACAGCACCCTGGGCTCTGTGTATCTCAATTTCAATATTTTACTATTTTACTGCATTCTATTGACTAAATCCTTAATTAATTCAAAGAAACAATACTAATCTTGAATTTTTAATATATTATGACATTTGACTACAGGTTGCGCTTTTGTTATTATCTAGTATATTTTGAAGGAGAGGCTTGAATCTTGGGGTGGGTGTAACCTTCCCTGTGACGTCACCGCCTCGCTCCCTAACCCGGGCCACTCATCCTTACCGCAGCACAGTGCCGAGCGCGCCTCGCCTTCTGCACAGCTCACCTTTAAACCAGAGCTTCTTCAAGTGGAACAAAGGACACATTGGGATACATTTTATCAGCCGTGCGACTAAAACTGGATTAACACACTGACTTTACGGTCTATACTACGGGGAGAAGGTTGTCAAATAGGTAAGAACTTTATTATTTGGATGCGTTTCACCGCTGTTAAGTCCACGCGGATGTGACAGCGGCTCTACTGCGAAACTCAATTAAGAAAACTCGCAAATGTGAAATGTCCTTTCTCACTGAAAAACGCTCATTCTGTCAGAGCTGGACTTAAGTCATTTTGTAAGTCTGTAGTCAATCTTACACTCGGCACACATTGTATACATGCAACAGCATTTCCCCCCACATAAATCTAAACTTGTACAACTTTTCTCTACTGATTTTACAGTATCATTCGTGCCCTCAACTTCTCCAAAACGCGGACCCAACACCTGGACACACCTGTCTCCTCCGCTGTGTGGCAAACATCTAACATCTCCACGGTTGTTGGTGTCTTTTCTCACCGATTCAGTGAGCCCTGCACTACAGGTTCAGGGTGGACACCGGACAGAGCAAGTAGGTGAGTTACTTATCCTTCCAAAAAAGTCAGTAAATTATGTGCAAATGGTGATTTTAAGGGTACTTTAAATTCTGAAATCAAAGACTTGTCAAGTAAATGTTTCTCATGTCATTGAATGTTTTACATCGTAGGAGACAGTGCATCTGTCTCAGCATCACAGAGACAATGAGTTTTGCTCTTTTATTTGTTATTCATTCCGTTGCTATGATTTGCGTGTCCTTATTCGATTGTGGTCACATAGGTCTGAACTTGGTTATGATCTGTCTCTGCTTTTTATCCATTAATCATATTATATATACCCATTAATTTAGAATGGATAAAGGTTTCCACATTTTTTCCTGAGAGAGCTTGTCATGCAACATTTCTCAAGATTAAGCACACTGGCAATAAGAGCATGAAATTGTGTGTGAACACTTGGCCGCTGACCGTTCAGCCTGTCAGCTGATATCTGAATAAGTGGTGAGACAGAAGAGGAACAATGTTGGGTTTCACATCTCATACGGCAGCACAGTTTGTGACGTTCTTTCAGTATATGCAACGTTTTCCTTTTTATGAGAGGAAGAAGATGTTCTGCCTTCTCTGTGTATGCATGCGATCAGTTTCACTTAGACAAAGACTTGCAAACATGGAATTAGAGTGGCGTATGTAGTGGACTTTGTTGACATTGAGTCCAAACAGAGTCTAAACGTAAGGGAGACGAGAAAACATCCTTGACAAATCTCCTCAGGCCAATGCCAGTTAGGGTTCATTTGAAACTACTTGAACATAGCACTCATATGAAGCCTTCTCTAAATTTGACTTACAATCTCATCTATGTCTTTTTTGATGAATCGACAGATGTGGCCAACAGATGTTTGGTTAGTTTTGGTTTCAAAATTGGCTTCAAATTAGGAAGCAGTAACAATGTCATAACAAATCTGAAACTTGCTATCACTTGTGATATGTTTTCACTTCAGGTTTCTCTTAGAGCTGCAACTAAATTTAATGTAGGAGTTGACAATTAATCTTCTGTGGGTAAAGGAAATGAAGAACAGACTGATTTTAAAAGCTGTAAATCTAAATAAATGTTCCTTTTTTTCCTTTCTGTATCAGGATGGCTCCAGACAACTTTTTAAGGACACATTTCTGACGCCCTGGGGCAAGTTTTTCTGATTAAATCTAGCTCGTATTCAGCCACGATGAATACAGATGACGATCCGTGCCACAGCAAGCACCACATCGACGGCATCAAGAGCCCGCTGATCAGCGCCACCATGTTCGCCGCGGGCATCTTCGGAAACGTGGCTGCCCTGGTGATACTGGAGATCCGAAGACGAAGGGCCATGAGGTCCGGGGAGGGTTGGCGGCGCTCGTTGTTTCACGTCCTAATCACAGCGCTGGTGGTCACGGACCTGGCGGGGACCTGCCTCATCAGCCCGCTGGTGCAGCTGTCGTATGCGCGCAACACCACCCTGATGGGGATGTCGCCTGAGTCTCACAGCGTTTGCTCGTACTTTGGAATCAGCATGACCTTCTTCAGCCTGGCCACCATGTCGCTCCTCTTCTCTATGGCTCTAGAAAGGTGCTTCGCTATTGGGTACCCCTTCCTGTACAGCCGGCACGTCACCAAGAAATGTGCCTACATATCAATCCCAGTGGTGTTTTCGCTATGTATTTTATTCTGCCTCCTGCCTTTCGCTGGGTTCGGTGAATATGTACAATACTGCCCCGGCACGTGGTGCTTCATCGACATGAACCCTAAGAAACCGAAGGACCGGGCCTATGCTAAGCTGTACGCCACCCTGATGCTGGTGCTGGTGCTAGCTATAGTGGCATGCAATGGGTTCGTGGTGTACCAACTGTTCAGGATGTACCAGCGGAGGAGGAGGAGTGGAGGGTCTGTGATGGGCACCACAAGATCCAACGGCGAACGCAAGGCCATGTCCATGGCGGAGGAGGTGGAGCATCTCATCCTGCTGGTCTTCATGACCATCATCTTCATCATCTGCACACTGCCCCTGGTGGTAAGATGACAGCACATGCATGCTTTTACACGTTCATCATAAATACACCCTTATGTCCAATTTGACTGCTCACAGCTGACCTTTGTTTCTTCATGTATGGCTAAATTGAATCTACTATGGACTCCTCATTGAAAGCAACAGCAATTAATTGACTTAATTGGTGTTAATTAGCTTAATGAGTCAGATAAGGAGTTGAGGCAGATATTGATTATTCAGACTAGGGTCTTACCTGACATTGATACACAGGGGTCACCACATCTAGAAAGTCTTTCTTTTGTATTTTAAACAATGCTTTATTTAAGAAGACACCGCACAGTTTTTTTCTGATTTAAAACCCCCTTAAACCCAGCCCGCAGGCCCATCCCTACAGGGGACAGAATGATAGTATTGTAGTATAAATAACAAAAATAAGTGAATGGATAAAATAGCAATGAACTTGGCATAAAGAAGAGACGAAGAACTTAAATAGAGAATATATGAAAATGTAATTACATTATGGTACATCATGAGGTATCTTGAAATTGGGTAATTTTCTTGAATCCAAGAAAGATAAAAGCATATTCAAAATGAAGAACAAATTTAAATAAATAATAGTAAGGAAAATGATATTTTTGTGTGGAATCAGAAACATATCATAGACCATACTGAGTGGAGCATCTCCTGTTAGGATATATCCATTACAGAGAGTGAAATGTAGCTACTGTACTGTAAGTGATATAAATTGTGTTAGAACACATTTACGGACTTTCAAACAAAACAACTAACAAAGTATATCAACATATCACCCAGAGCATATACATTTAGCCGTATATGTAATGCAATCTGATATATATCTTTGTATGGTGGCATTCTGTGGACCTGCAGCTATTCATAAATAATACAATAGACTATGGGCTGTTCTGATGCCAAGTAATAGACTTTGCCTTTTTAGCTACTTATTTTGATGACTGGTATAAATGTTTCAAAAAGCTCTTTATTTTTCTTATACTGCCTGTGCTGCAGCACCTCTTTTCACCCTCTGTCTGAAACCAGAGCCCAGTCTGCTCTGATTGGTTAGCCAGCTCTGTTGTGATTGATCCAGAATGCAATCAGCTATGTTATCAGGATGACATTTGGACAGAGGCCGTAATTAGAAGATAATACAAGACCACCTTTTCAGAGGTCCTTAAGCTTCTACTTGTCCTCCATCCTGCTGGGTTACTGTATAATATGATCCTGAGCCAATAGGATAAATACATACTGTAGGGAAGGACTGCGATTAGCTAATGGCAGTGCTGGCAGACCACTTTGTGGGGTAGTTTAAGTGAACTTTGACATATTTCTAATTGAATTGGCTAGTGAAAAACACACAACAGAAGCTAGGGAGTAGATTTTGGAGACTATAACAGTAAAGATGGGTGGACGTAAGTACAAATTAAACCCACAGCTGACCTATCATCCAGTCATTTGTCTCTGTAAGACTCTGGGCAATCTGTTAGCACCTCTGGTATGAAAGTGTCACTTTGGATTTCAAAGGTTAAATCAATAACTTCCCTAGCCGTGTAAACTGGTGTGCACTTCATCACAGACAGCACTAATGAAAGTGCCGTGGTCTGCATGTCCGCTGTGGCTTTAAATGCAGAGTCACAACCTGCATGCCTGCTATGCTTCACAGCTCCCACATCAAGCTTCATATAATAGCATCCACAACTTCACAAGCACACCACACTAATTCATTAGAGTTTATCGAAGTAAATGAAGTGTGTGCAAATATTTGTATTACTTTTTGCTGAGTGTTACAGCTATTTCACCTCACACTAAGCCACTGAACCTTATGTATAAGCAAAGCAAACAGTAGCTGATTATGCCTCTTAAAAAGGACTTTATGGCATCATAAGGCAGCTACTAGAAAATGTATCACATGAATCAGTGCTGCATAATGCCATTCACTTTTATTCCACTGCCTACTATTATGGTAAAGAAAATGTATTCGACACGCTATTGCTGCCTGAAGTGGAAAGTATAAAAACGTCCAAAATATCCACAAGGCGATAGCAGCAAGCTGACAGAGATGAGTACAGTGTACGCCTCAAGATGATCTTGTGAGAAGCATTTGTGTCCGTTTGAAAGTGGTGGCTTATTATAATCGCCCTCCTCTGTGCACTGTGTATCAGGTGCAGACTTCTGCAGGCAGGTAAAGGACACAGTAGGTATCACCTTACTTCATTAGCTGTCTTCACTGGCTCATCAGGAGTAAAACAGATGGTACAGTGAGGTGAAACAAGGACACACAGGAAGGAGACAGGAGGCCCTGAATTGAAAGGCTTAAACATAGGTCAAACTGATTTCAATTTTTCTAAGAAATCACTAAAACCATCTTTATTTTTAGGTTTGACCTGTGTTCTTATTTGGTCTTAATTGTAGTTGACGGCATCCCTACATTAGTGGAGGAATGCATTTTTGTTTTTATATCTCTTAAACTCATCATCCACATAGTCTTGTCTGGAGGGAGTTACACTTACATAAATGCGTGACATCAACTTGAAATTGAAATAACTTTGCTTTTGTTTCCTTATTTGTTTAAATCCCTGTTGATTTCAACTTTGGCAGTAGTGAAAATGTCTCAATGAGTTCTACATTTGGCAGAGACTCCCAGATCCTTTCCTTTATCTTTCCACCCACTGATGACCAGTCAGTACATAGGTCCTTTTACTCATTAGGCTGTTGATGTGCATCTTGTCTGTGTCCAGCTGCTAGCCTGTCTTACATTTTCTCTATCAGATACCCAGTGACAGTAAGCAGACCTTTCACCACTGCGGGCAAACGTCGTCATGACATTAACGTCATTCATATATGATTCATTCCTCCTATGGGAATCCTGTGGAAATCACTTACTTGCGCCAGGCACATTCGGCTCTCCTCTCCTCATATATCCACAGAATGGCCGCATTAACTTATTGGAAGACATTTCCATCTGCTGACCTGCGGGAAGATGAAGAAAAGCTTTTACCATATTTCACTCAAAGAGCACACTTAGTGATTATGCTGATGGTGCTGCGGTCTCATATTTTAATAAACGTTGTTTAGAGTCCTTATCTATGCAGCATGTTGTTCATTTAATAAGGTATAGCCCAATTTAGAGTTACATTGCCAAAAGGGTGGGACTGACTCGTGATGGACAGGCCACTACCAGGTTTTAGTCTGACTTTGTTGCTGTCCGTGTTTGCGACATTCACTGTGCATTTAACCTCATGAAAGATAACGTTAACTTTATGACGGTTTTATTAGTTTGACTGTACTTAGCTCCACTGACTTGTGCCACTGCCGGTTCCAAAAAAACAAGATGGAGACTGCCAAAGATTTTGAAGGTGTTTCATATCCGCTTTGTGGTCACACACTTTCAATGGCTACACCTTCAATCATACTAAGAAAGAGTATGAATGCATTATTTATTACGAACCTTATATAAACATTCATTGGTTTCCAACCAGCAATGTGATACCGTATAGTTCACACGCGCACACACACACACACACATTCTGTGCCTTCTCAAGATTAAACTGGGAGCTGGTAATATATATGTGTGTGTGTGTGTGTGTGTGTGTGTGTGTGTGTGTGTGTGTGTGTGTGTGTGTGTGTGTGTGTGTGTGTGTCATTATAATGTGCCTCTGGTTATCTGGGAGTGCATTAAAAATTGAAAGGGCCAAACAATAGCCCCTTTGGGACAGAAAATAACGCACATTGAACCAGGAAGAGAGTGGAAAGATGAAATTGGAAATACAGTAATGGAATTTGAATGTTGCAGTTAAATCCCAAAACAATTTTGGGGGCATTTTGGCCTTTATAATAAGGTCAGAGACGCTAGGACATGTTAGGCATATTTGACAAACCCTCAATAAGTTGTTAAGTTAAACCTCCTACCAGTGTTATGAGTTTAAGGCATGTGGGTTCAATTATGCATCTTTGAAGTAGAATATTTTAAATACTCTCACATTGTGGAAAACTGAATGAAAAACAGGCGCAAGCAGAGATTTAGAGAGATTGTCACCTCTGACTGGCATATTTGCTCAGCACACAGATCACTTTCACATTGCAGTTTGTGAGTTTTTTTTCCTAGAGGATCAACCCTGACAGACACTTTACATGACATGTGACTTGTTAGACGCTTTTATTCAAAGCGACTTACATATTCAATACTGTGGGCAATCTGGGGTGAAGTGTCTCAGGGACACAACGACATGCTGACTGCAGTGGGGTTTGAACCTCTGACCCCCTGATCCCAACACCAACGCACAACCCACTGCACCACACGCCTCCCACTTCACATAACACTTGTGTTACGCTTCCTGCTGCTGAGAGACGAGAAGAAAATGTGTTTCATAGTGCGAGTTGGATTTCACGGTAGAGCCTGGCAAAACAAAAAAAATCTGTCTCCACACGCACACTTGGTCCGTTGGACCAAGTGTGCGTGTGGAGACAATCACAGTCATGATCTCATGCGGATAGGTTTTAAACAAAAGTGAGATTAGCATGAAGCTGTTCAACACTTAAAGATACAAAACAACATTGCACACCTCAGTAGCTTGATAAGTAGAGTTTTTTTGTATATTTTAACTATAAGCAGATGAGATAATTTTATCTTTAACCACTTCCCAGATGAGGCTGCAGAAGTCACTTTCTAAGTATTTTCCCTCTCCCAGCTAACAGCTGCTGGTGTTTCCTTAAGCAAGACTCTTAAGTGCCATTCTCAGCTTCCCGGAAACAATTGAGCCACCGCGTTGTGAGACTGAGCAACAGGAAGCTAGCTTTATGACATTGGCATAAAAACGTTGGGGCAACCAACTACTGCTTCTCATGAAATTAGGTGCTTTTATTTTCAAGTCAACTAAGAAGAAAATGATTTAATGGAAGAGAGATAAGTGTGAGGATAGATGGTGCAGATTTAAGAGAAAAAGGTGGGTGGAAAGCAGAGATTAAGATAGAAAGTGAATGGAAAATGCCACGTAATGGAACTAGAAGGGCCAAATGCCAGTGGTGGAAAGTTGCAGTACATTACTCAAGAT